GTACGTCGTGGAATAATCAAGCACATGTATATTTGAATCGACTGCGCATACCGCTCTTGCCCTACAGATGCGCGCGCAGAAAGGGGCTGGATCTCGGGGAGGAATTCGGCAATAATACAAAATTAAGGTTAAAAAAACTTCTGAGAGTTGTCACGGAAAAACTATTCATCCTAGAACATCACTCGTCATATCATTTTCGTGTGAAATTGGCTTCTCTACAATGTGGTATGTGTTTTTTTTCAATCGATGGAGTTTAGCTGAAACTACGAATGTTTTTGTAATTGACCCGAACGAAAACGACTCGTTTTTAATTATTTTTAATATGTAGTACATCAATCTGTTATTGAACAATTTGATATGTTCAGGAAATTTTTATCTATCTAATAGTAATTTTTTCATAGACGGAGGATTAATTACTAGGTTTGGCAATTTTTGAGTCTAATTTGACTACACTATGCGTGCGTCTGAATGGTGAAGAGTTCTCAGGAAAATACTGTTTACGAATTATTTCCATTATCATTGGGGATCATCTCGAGTTTACTGCAGTAACCGGAATAAATATATTTTGAATATTCGAGAGATTAAAGAATTTACATCGATTGTCACTTGTCTCAACACGCACCTTTTCACATTGCCTGATATTTTAGAAATACCAGACAATGTCATAACACGCAACCTACCTATTCGCTTCAGCGAAACGATTCATCGGAGACTCTTGAGTTTGAGTTTGATAGTTTCGCGGATTAAATTAGACNAGTAACCGGAATAAATATATTTTGAATATTCGAGAGATTAAAGAATTTACATCGATTGTCACTTGTCTCAACACGCACCTTTTCACATTGCCTGATATTTTAGAAATACCAGACAATGTCATAACACGCAACCTACCTATTCGCTTCAGCGAAACGATTCATCGGAGACTCTTGAGTTTGAGTTTGATAGTTTCGCGGATTAAATTAGACTTTTAGTTGGAATCTTTTGAGAGTTCAGATTTTCAGTTCATTGTGACAACCTAATTCTTTTTTTTTTTAACCCATCGAATACTAATATGGAGGTTCCCAAGTCAAACTCCTGTGAGATTTTTTGTTGTTAACGAATTATTAATAAACAATTGGAAAGCCAACTTTTCCGATGAGAATTTTTTTTCCGTAGAACACACCTGATTTCAACGGGGGTAAATCAGGTCTAGGTCAGGTCTAGGTCAGGTAAGTCTTCAAATATTTGTCCGTATTTACAGCGATTTTATCGATAAAATTTCATGAACAAATGATTTTTAAAGTATTTTTCAATATTATTTGCTGAAAATGTTGACTGAAATTTTTTTTTGCATTTCACGTAGTTGTATGGGTTTTTCATATGATACGTGGGTGATGTATAAAAAAATCTAGTCCGTTAATTTTTTTTCAATTTGTTTAAACAAAGAACGAAAAATATCAATTTTCATTAAGAAAATTTCCTTTTCTGAATATTGCAGATATTTTAGTGAAGATAAGTCCTTATGATTTTTACCTGTAACGCGACTGTTTGTTGAATGAAAAATGATAAATAAATTCGTTGATCATTGTTTATGACTTTTTATTTAACAGACAGTTGAGTTGAGAGAAAATATGATGAGCACTAACCGTCCTTGAAATATTTTGAATCTTCAAAAAATAAAAGTTTTCCCATTAAAAATCGAATTTTTTAATCTTTAGTTTAAACAAATTATTAGAAAAAAATCAGGTTTACAGGAAGTAAATTTCTTCATGAATCACTTACGTATCATATGAATAACGTATGCAATTATGGGAAATGCGAAAAAAAGTTCCATTCAATATTGTCAGTGAACACTATAGAAAATACCTTGAAAATCATTTGTTTATGAATTTATATTGGTGGAACCGTTGCAAATACGGAAAAATATTCAAGGACTTATTCTCTTCGAAAACACGCGAATTCTATAGAAAAACTTTTTTCCGGCCGAAATAGCAGAGATGTCAATTGTTTATCAATAGTTTGTTAGTAACAAAAAATTCTCAGGGATTCGACACGGGGACCTTGATATTCGGATTCAACGGGTGAAAAAATGGAGAATCCATCGCAGGGAATAAATTATAGGAACTTGAAGGAAGTTCGCAGATTTTCTAAATAATGATAAAATTGTCGGTTACTTTCAAAAATTGAAGATGATTCAGGAACTTTCCAACGAATGCAACACAATTATGAAGTTTTTCGCAGAAATGTAAGAAAATCCGTGTTTTTCGAAAATTAGCAAAAATTTTCGTTATCTCTCAAATATTGAAAATTTTTGGAATAAACAATGGGGGAATAATTGATATGCGAGGTTCGAATTTTCGAAATCAAACTGATATGAAGGTGTCACGTGATCCCGAATACTGCATTCTGATTGGTTGAAATGAGGAAGGAGAAAACAATTTAGAACATTTAAGTTCTACGGATTTTTTTCAACAATTTTGCAAAATGTTCAAGTTAGAAAAACAAGCAGGGGTAGAAGCCTATCTGGCAGAAGTCATGTGACCGTTACTTTATGCGTCATTACTATTTTTTTCTCTCTACCAGTTACATTGGTAATAAGCTTCCGAATGGAAGCAATACCAATTTCACACGTAAAAAATCAGTCATTCAACGTAGGCAAGAGTATCAACGTAATATTTACATGAAATGTAATATTGACTAACGAACGTACTTTGAATAATGGAAATTAATATAAAATTTACAAATCTTAAAAAATTAGACCACGTCAACCTCTGTCTCTGCCACAGCTATGGCTATCGAATATTCATCAAATATTAGATTGTATGAAGTATAAAAAAACATGGATTTGTATTATATGACTTTTGAAGTCATGCAGAGATGGAAAACATAAAATAACAATGTGCGATTTTTCAGAAAAAAAGCATTTCGGATGAATTACTCTACGCCAGGATATACTGAATCGATTAACACCAAATTTTATACACGAATGTGGGCCAATCATGCAAATTAGCAGCCAGAATCTCAGGTGTTTAGTCCATGTTTAACACGTATTATAGAGCCCACATCGAATTTTAATTTAAAAAATTAGAAAAACGCTGATATCTCGAAAACTTTGTATAGGAGGGTATGCATATTTTGATTGATCTTGATAGAAGATACCATGACAAATATTTTGAAAAAAAAAGTCAGTCGGACCAGTAGTTTCGGAGATATTGCATAACAGTTGTTCCCAAAAAGTTGAATATCTCCTAAACTACTCATCCGATTCAGCACATCCATAATCCCATCCTGTAATATTATAAGAACTATAATCGTACCGAATTTTAACTTTCTATCTTGATTTTTCGGGGCGCTATCGTGCTTACAACAATTTTTTCATAAAAATGGAAAATGCCAATTATTACCAAATTGTCTACAGTTACATAGCAATATTATGATTTGATCCAATAGATATCATCACAAACAAGATTTTGACGTCAAAAAAATGGAATCAAGTCACGTCGTTTTTTAGTTATTGAGGAGCAAAGATTTTCTAGAAATTGCTGTATTTCAGAAACTACTGGACCGATTGAATTGAAACTGCGCCCAGAAATGTTCCAAAGTAGTACCAATTATGTGGCGAAATTTCAGATTTCAAGCTTCAGCTTTAGTCGTTTTTGTGCCGTGATTTATGAAAATTTTCGAAAAAATCAACACACTTTCGGACACACACATACATGGTCCTCAAATTTTGTATTTTTTCGTTTCAGACCATTCTACATCATTTCCAAGCAAAATTAGCGAATCGAAAGATCGACCGATTTCAATGCTCCCATTCGGAAGCAAAAATTACAAGAATTGCTGGATTTTATAGAAGGTTAGGAAAATTTCAGATTATTTATTGAAGGTACAAGTTCATGGAATAAAGGGAAAGGCGACGACTGAAAAATCTGGACTATAAGAAATTTTGGAATGATTGTTTTGCCCTTTGAATAGAATTCAGTTCAAAATTATATTAAAAATCTTATTCAGTGAACCTAGAAATTCCACATTAGTGAATCACTTATTGAAATATTGAAATTGAATAGTTAATGAACCGAGACGCATCATTCTCATCAATTTAACACTCAGTACAATGAGAACGACGATGAATAATTAATTTTGATACAAATGAAAAAGAAAAAAAGGAGAGCAGGCATAATGAAAGGGCATCAACGTCGCGGCTGCACTCTGATTGGTTGAAATGAGAATAAAGAAAATAATTTTTAAAAACACGAGAGAAACATCCAATGCTCTCAACAATTCTCCAAATTCTTCGTGTTACATGAAAAAAAAATCATAAGATTTTGGAATCTTATGTAACATTTGACTAAATTGCAGATGAATGATCCAAGTTTCTGATTGATGGAATCCTTGAATGGAATAGTGAAGGAGATCATGAATAAGGAGAAAATCCTCCGAATTAGTGAAAAGGCATCAGAATTTGTTGGATAATTTTCCCAGACAAATAATTGAATGCTTTTGCAGGGGAGTAAAGGGGGATGAAGGTGGAGGCAAAAAATTGAAAATTCTGGGTTATATTGAATTTCATGATGATTGCGTCAGACTCTGAAGGGAATTCCGACTTGAATTACAATTGAAATCGAGAATCTATCAGATCTTATTCAGTGAGCACAGAAATTCAAAATTAAGAAATCACTTATTGAAATATTGAAATTGAACAGGTGGTGAACTGACATGCATTGTTCTCATTAATCTTAATATTTAGAACGATGAGAACGCTGATAAATGATTAATTTTGGAGAAAAAAGGAAGGAAATAAAGAAAAAAAGAGGAAAAAGCACAATAAAGGGGCATCAACGTCGCGGCCGCGGCGGCGCTATTGTAACATAATCCCGAAAATTACTGGATTTTTTTACTATTACCTTTTTCTTATTTTTATATTATGCATTAATAAAAATCTCACATGTGGCAATATATTTCAACCATTCCCTGGTGAATCAATATGAATAACCTATTCATTAATTGTTTCCTCATTTCAGGTGCTCACAGAAGTATTCGAAAAAGACTTCTACAAGACTCTAGCATGCTTGAAAAAGAAGGATCCAAGAATCTACGACGAGAACGTGAATTTCTTCTCCATAACAGAAGACTCCCCAGGAAATGCAGAAACTCAACCCCCTCAGTCCAAGAAAAAAACGAAAAAAGAGAAACCATTCACTCTCCGAGACTATGACCGAACAATGATAATCGAAAGACTCAATCAATTCAGTGAGAGTGATTATGAAGACGACTTTCAAAATAAAAACCGTGAAACCAATATCTTAACTTACATAGAGGTGCAAAAAGGATTGAGAGAAAGCATAAATCAAGTTTTGCAAGATGGAAACGATGGCAGTGACACCGAGGAGGATCTTTTACTGCCAAAGCATAAATCTCAAGAAGAGAAATTGCAAGAGGAAGAATCTTACAAGGAATGGCTGAGAGGCCAGCACGCAGAGGTAGAAACCTCAGAGAAACAAGCTTTGAAGCCGTTGAGAGATTTCTGGACAGATCCTAATCTCGACGAGAATGAGAAATTCCTCAGAGATTACGTTCTAAACAAAAAATTTCTTGAGAGAGACATAAAAAATCCTAAATATCGCGAGGATATCATCCATGGCAGTAATGAAAATCTGTCAGAAGATGAAAAGGATATCGAGCAACAAGAGGTGTTTGAGCACAAATTCAACTTCAGGTTTGAAGAACCTGATACCGATTTCCTAAAGCGGTATCCTCGAACGCTGGAGAATTCATTACGAAAGAAGGACACGAGGAGATCAGCGAAGAGAGTAGCGTTAAAGAAGAGAAAAGAGGAGGAGAAAGCAAGGAAACGAGAAGAATTAAAGCGTCTGAAGGCCATGAAACGAAAGGAAATCGCGGAGAAAATTGCACAGTTAGAAGAGATCACTGGAAACAATGACCTACAGTTTGATTCATTTGATTTGGAGGGAGACTTTGATCCTGCTGACCACGATAGGAAGATGGTGGAGTTGTTTGATGAGGAGTATTACAATGAAGGGGAGGAACACGTAAAGCCAGTGTTTCCGGATATGGATGAGGAGCTTGGGGTAGATATTACGTGGGATGATTATGATCCCAATAGTGAGGAGATTGAACTCTCAGAAAGGCACGCAGGTTCCCATGCTAGAGATGCCGATTTTAATGTACGTATCGATTTGTGTCAGGATTTGGAAAATATCCTTGGCATTCTTGGGCAGTAGTGAATGAAAATGAGTTTGAAGTGAAATTTGAAATTATTCTATGAATGTTTTCAAAATCGAAAAATTTATCAAGTTCCACTAATTGCTTCTGAAGGGGGGGGGGGGAAATGAGTTCATATATTTTTAATATTACTTATAAAATAACCCAAAAAAAAACACCACCATCCCGCCCCCTAGCCAAGTCACACTAGCGTGACACCCTGTCAATATGGCGAGGGTAATTATCAAAAATAAAAACACTAATTCCAATTTTTACAGACACTGCACACTCCCGAGACCCAATTACCGGTGCGTGAACTATTTTTTACCATTTTCTGCGAGTTCTAAAGCAATTAGACGCCGCTAATTCCCATTATGGACTAGTAAGTAAATGAGGCGATCAGCCAAAGAGGATAGACCTGAGTAGAGGCCCGGATCGGGGGGTTTGACTGACTCCAAAAATGTTAGTTGGTACCCCACGGGAAAGGCGGCGTCCCGGTCGAATTGTCGGTAAATGTGAGTCGGGTGCGTGAGTAACTCGGCAGTAGCAGTCCCGCTGTGACAGGGACAGGTTCGGAGGGGGACTTTTGTCCTCCTTGTACTCAATGTTTACTTTATGTTTTTCAGTTGATTTATTCGCCGACTAATTAATATTAAGGGATGAAACAAAGACTGTTCAATGGAGAATTAAATTGCCCATCCATCAACCCCCGTTTCATCACTTAATCTCTGCAATAAAAAAATTAATATTGCGACGAAAGTCACGGCGCTATAAGAAACCCAATGTTTTCTCGGCGCAGAGTGACTCCCCAATAATTCGCCCGCTAATTAAAAAATCGTCTCTCCCCTCCTAATTAACAATAAGGAATGAAACCAATGCTGTTCGATGGAGAATTAAATTCCCCATCCTTCAACCCCCGTTTCATTCCTTAATCTCTGTAATAAAAAAATGAAAACTGCGACGAAAGTCGTGGCGCTATGAAAAACTCAATGGTTTCTCGGCGCAGAGCGCTTCCCCATTAATTTGTGATATACGGACGGGAATCCGTATCACTTGAGTTTTAGGAATGTAAGAAAATTCTACGACTTACTTCCTTGCGTAGCCTTACCTTCCAAATTTATTGGATCCTAGCCTTGAAGATAAACATCTCCTACGATAGTTAATCGGCTCAAACAATTTAGGAAACGATGATGAGTTTTAAAATAATAATTACAGGTTGATCGAATTACTTCAAAGAAAAACTCCACAACATTTATTCAAATTTTGAAGAGTTTAACAAAACGTTCCGTCCGACAGAGAGTTCTTACTATTTTATTTTGGAAAATACTTAATTAGAGAAGCTAATTTATTTAAAATGAAGAAGAGAGAGAGATTCGCTGGTAATCGGTCTATACTATGAGAACTAGATGATTTCAACGCGAATTTTTGATTCTATATATATTAATTAATTGTTATTTTTATTTTGTGCTCACCCTTACAATTCCTCTCAAATTCGGCGGATTACAACGGTAAATTTTAGAAGTAGGGGTATCAATTTCGAGTTTGATCCGTAATTCCAATTCAGCCAATAGTTCGAATACATCCAATCGTACAAAAAAAAATAACAAAATTGTTGTTCACTTGATTTCACCCAAAAGTCACTTTAACGAGTCTATAAGTTCTATTCACTAAGAAGATATTTTAAGAAGTTTATTATGTCAAAATTTTAGTTCACTGATTTTTAACTGAGTCTTAGCTCACAACACTTTACGCGAACCACGAAGATGTGCGTGTTTGTTCACATTTACTGCATTGACCTTTAATAGCTTCGCAAAATTACTGCTCGGTTTACCGGTCCAAAAGCCTTCGTTTGATTGAAAATATAGAATACTGGTGGGATGGAGTACGGATTTGGCAAATTTTTAATGAAGCTATTGGGACAATTACAGGAGTCGAGCGGGGAATGCTCGCAATGGCTCCTCAGGCGTGACTGCTTTTTAAAAACTTGCATTTTGGTGGCGTTAGAGTGTCCAGAAAGTGCTAAGACAGCATCCTCTGGGCATACGTGCCTGTTCGTGTAATTTTTAAGTGTATGGGTTTCTCGAGGACTTTGCAGGGTTTGCAGGTGGCATCCGGCGAGGAACGAAATGAAAAGTACTTCAGAGAGCCGTGAATACGAATAAAATATTCATAAAAATTTTATATGTAACATCCCTCCCGTGCAGATTGTCAAAAACCTTTAGGCAAGCTTCACGAGTTCTCACGGCTCGCTCAAATGTTAAGATAGCTTCAATCTTTCTCTCTTCCTTTGACTTATTACTAGATTGATTGAAGAATTTTCCCATATGCGTGACCCCATGAATTATTACTACTCAGCGATAAAAATATATAATTTTAGTTAGAATCATGGCTCTGTATTTTCATACTACAAGGGTAATAGATTTAGAGCGCTGGACTGCTGACAGGGGCTGTTGGGGTGTTTGTCCATCTTGAAGTCGATCTTCGACGTGGTTGGTTGGGTGTATGACCATTGCACACAATCGATCTTCGTGACGTGAGGGTCCGGAGATTTCAGCTTCAGAGAGGATTCTCAGAGGGATCACTTCGCGTGGATAAGTCGATAGAATAGGCAAGGAACTCGATCGCTGTCTGTTTACTCGGAATGTTGGAGTATCTTCGGGTTGAGTTGTCAGTTTACCATTCTTCCAGGAACACAGAAGAGTCAAAAGTAGGCTTCTCCAGCGGAATACAGTGAATAGAGTGCCCGCTAGGGTCAGTAGACTCAATCCGCCTACCGACCCGAAAGTCAACAATTTGTGATGATATTCTTCTTGGCGTTCCTTTCCAATTTCCTCCAGTCTGCGTCGAGCTTCATCTAGGCGTATTTCGCTTGCTAGGTGGTCCTGAAGGTTGGGCAGTGAATCAATATGAATAGATGTAAGTGAGTTGGCCCTTTTGGGTGCACTGGCTAGTTCTGGAGCAAAGTCGGTGATGGATAAATTCACGGGAGGTAGGTGAATTTCAAGCTCTGTTGTTTGGAGAATACCTATGTGTGATATTAGATCTCTTGAGGTCCTGAGGTCACAGTCCTTGCTCAACGTGATAATACCGGTACCGGAGATGTTGACTATGTCTACAAGCTTCTGGTTGCAGATGATGTCTCCTTGTTCAGGCTCGATAGTGGTGAAGAGCCACTGTGTGCTCGTACTCAAATTAGTCCATTCAGTATTTCGTGACTTGGTGATCTTTATATCGCAAGTGCGTAGAACGTCTGCCGATGGTTTCAACAGGAGCATAATTTCGCAGATCGGTAGTTGTATGGAGTTACTGATGGGAAACCGTGGAAGGCAGGCAATTCGAGTTCCTAATGTAGAACATTCCTCTAAATCCTCCGGTTGTAGCAATCCATATTTCCTACGATCTTCCGAGACGAACATGTACGGCTTCTCGGGTGTAACATGAGCTGAGATGGTCCGGTTACCAATGAGCTGAGGTCGACGACAAGAGCGTAAGCGATAGAGATTGTAAACTTGTCGATCCAACAAGGGCAAACTAATAATGGCTAGGAGTTTCTCTTTTGCATATGCCATGTTGATGGTACTTACTCTGGACAAGGCCGGGAAATCTGTCGCTCCAGAAGGGACCGGGAACTCCAGTTCAGGATGTATGGACTTGATATTTTCGGTAATATCGTGAAGTTGTGGAGGTGTCAAGAGCGTGTGTGACAAACGGCCATGTTTGGCAGCATCTACAGCACCTACGATATCTGCTGTCGCATCTAACACTCGTCGTAAAGAAGACTCAGCCTCAACTCCAGCCTGGGTCAAATGGACAATGTATTCGAGTTTCTTCACTGCATGATCTTCTCGGTTGAATTGAGTTTGTAATTCTTCTGCGACGGATTTCAGGGTCAAAATGTTATTATTCGTATGATTCAAGTACGTATTAATATTCTCTATCTTTGACCTCAATATATGACTGGAGTTATTCACGATGGAAGTAATCTCGCCTTGAGATTGGTACAGCCGGTCAAGTTCCTTGGTAATGTGTTGGTAGTCGTTGTAGTCCATTAATCCGAAGAGACTACGGTGGAGGCTACCCAAAAAGGCAAACGGTGGCACACGAGGGCCGCGCATGTTTATTGGTTTTGTTGCAGGAGAGAGGAAAAGATCTTCAAGATGGCTATTCAGCTGGATGATCTCCGTTCGCATCGATGTGATTGAATTCAACCTTAACAACCGGTTGCACTCCTCTTGGTTGAGTATTTTCACACATTTGTCGATAAGCGATGTAAGGTATGGACTCATCACTCGATCGATTTGACGGTGTAGCTTAACCAAGTCTATACTGGTAATTATCCGCCACTCTTTACGTACTATTTGAAGGTCTTGTATAGGTTCGTAGTAAATACCAGGGTTATACTTCAGGTAGCGAACTGTATAGGACCTTTGATCTTCGGGTGGTGTATCTTCAGAGTGTTGTATATGCCACCCATGCGTAGGTTGAAACAGCCTCAGCGCTCCCAGTACATATATGAGTGGACCAGTCACCATGATTCGGTTCAACGTTCATCCCCTTACAATATAGGATACATTTATCAATAATATAGGGAGTGAGCACGTTGAAATGGAAATTTGTCCTGACAGTTTAAAAAACACGTTAGATTTATTTTATTGATTTCTTTATTTATTCATTTTTTTTTCGTTATTTGAGGAAGAGAATTCATAAACTGCCGGCACAGGATTTCATTCATCTATTGAGGTACTAGCCTGACATCATTAGGGTGTCTCATGAATCGTTCGCCGTCAGCATCTTCTATTATAAGATTGCCATTTTCTGTAATTTCGACAATTTCGTAATCAGTTCGGTAATGACCATCGAGCTTACTCTTACGAGGTCTCAACAGTATATGAACGCATTGACCCACCTTGAAATCGACTGGATTTGCATCGCGATCGTAAAGTACCTTTGAACGGCGCTTCGCGCTGTTAAGATTTTCGGCGGCTACAATCTGAATTTTATCTAATTCCGATACTAGATCAATTACGTAGTCGCTGTACGCTTCAATAGTTTTCTCATCCGGGAATTCAGACGGCAATCGAGCTTTTCGACCAAAAACTAGTTCAAAAGGAGAGAAATTTGTAGCTAAGTGTACCGACGTATTATAAGAGAACATGGCAAATGGGAGGATCAAGTCCCAGTCTTCCATGTTTTCCAATACGGTTCTTAAATATTCAACTAAAACGTGGTGACTTCGTTCAAGGGCCCCATTGGTCTGAGGCCTATAACCCGAGGTGGTCACATGTTTCACGTTGAATATTTCTGACACTTGTGCAAATATCTTGCTAGTGAAGCTAGTTCCCCTATCTGACAATAGTGTTTTGGGTGAACCGTGCACTGCAT